ACCACGTTTCTTATCGACCCCACGCTCCCCAAACGTTCCTTCTGTTTTCTTCTTGCTCGAGAGAGATGGACAGGGAGTGAGAACGAGCAAATGTAGCCTCGTGTGGTTTCGCTGTGTTACTGCGGCCTGAGGCCGTGGAAAATACCGGGGAATGCTGTCTGGAAGTAGATGGGGCGCGTGATAGTATTTAGGGAGGCTCAGCCGTTTCAGCAGAGGTGGATCGTTTAGTGGCTGGGGACGATGTGGGGTCTGACAAGGGTTGCGCGAAGACTTTGCACCAGAGGGTGGCACACTACCGCCTTATTTTGAGGCCCAGCATCAGTTTAGATGAATTTGCGATGGGACACAAAACGTACTGAAACTCGTCTTTGCAGAATATCTGCATCCAGTCGCGTTCGTCCTTTATATCGCACAAATTGCCTGACAAGTCAATGCGGGCAACTAACTGCCAGATTGAAAATTTGTCCATGAAGACTTTCAGGCTGTCATTGAAGGTGATAATAGGGACAGCCGGCTGCGGAAGAACAGACAACTTGCGGATCCGGGTAGGGATAGTATCTGTACTCTTCCAACAGTTTTAATTCTGGAAACGAAGAACAGGCCTGAAAAACGACTCACTCTCGCCTCTCCATCCGATCCAACCAAAATTTCCGCCCCTTAACCTCTACTCAAGGTCCATCATCATTCACTGATGCCACGGAACGTGTCCAGTCCTCCTCCTCGGCCTTTTCATGCGACACTGCGTACCACATCACCGTTCCCTCTATTTCCCCCGGGCCACCGCCGTTCATTGACATTAAGATCTTGGGCAGCTCCTCGCGGTATCTCTTCGTCGTAGATCCCGTGGTGAGCGGAAGTGGATTAAGTAATGGGTGGATGGTCGACGTAGAGGGTGCATGGACACATTATAGGTATAAACCGAGGACTGTAAAGCGTGTCATGACCGCAGCACACGTAAAATACCGTTGAGAGAACCCAAGTAGCAATTGAAGGTACTTACGATCGAAAAAGAGACCGTTCTGGTGTTTGCTCATTTCGGTCAGAGGCAAGATGCTTTTCTCTTGAACTGTAGACCAGGTCATCCTCCTGCTTAATTCTAGTGAGTGAGGGAGGTCTGTGAGGGTTGCCATTTGAGGGTGCCGGCGATGGTGCAAGGTCAAAGAGGAACGGCCCGCCGCGGCAACTCCGTCACATCCTCGACATTCTGCGTACCACCGACGTGGAGCGTATATCCCACGTAAACTCCCTTTTTGACGAAAATGGGCTCAATCTATGCGGCAAGGACCTTTTCCTGGGTATGCTCTTATCCCTTTACTCCCTTTCCGTCTTGCGTCGCTTCATTCAAACAGCATTCAGCTCTCCAAACACTTTCCTCTCCTTAACTGAACTTTCATTCAGCGGAACACGCGTACACGATTTCGACCTCATCCATATCCACCACCTCCCCAAGCTCTCCATTCTCTTTCTGAATAATACAGGCACAGGAAACGAGGCGTCAGTCTCCCCCGTCCCTCTGACCCCCTCGTACTACCTACACGCAGTGTATACCTCCTCA